GCGAGGCATCAAATCCAGATGATTTTGATGTGCATCAGAATAAATTGAATAATGAGGAAGTCCTGAAAGAGTTGGATAAGGTAGTAAGCTATTTGTCTCAGGAACAGAGAACTGAATTGAAAGGCTTATTGCAGCACTATGAAGACATATGCAAAAGTAGAATGGGGAGGATTAATGCCATAGTACATGGGGTCGATGTGGGGAATGCAGTTCCGATAAACAACCCCGTACAGGCTTAATCCTCCCAAAGCAACACAGGCACATAACTTAGTGGAAGCAATGCTCCAAGAAGACATTATGGAGCCGGGTCACAGCAAGTGGAGTTCGCCAATCGTGTTGGTTCCCAAATCTGACGGTACTCAGTAATTCTGCCTGGATTATCAGAAGGTCAACTCCATGACTAAATCAGACTCATACCCAATTCCAAGGCTGGAAGATTGTGTGGAAGAAGTTGGACAAGCCTCTTACATTCACAAAGTTGGACTTACTTTGTGGTTACTGGCAAGTACCTTTGTCGGAAAGAGTAAAGAAAGTTTCTGCTTTTGTAACTCCACATGGGCTATACCAATTTAAAGTAATCCCATTTGGAATGAAGAGCACCCCAGCCACATTTCAAAGACTTATCATTAGAATTGTGGCAGGATTGACTAATTGTGCCATCTATGTAGATGACTTAGTGATCTTTAGCCTTTTGTGAAAAGATTACATGGTGCATTTGGCAGAGCTCTTTGAGAAACTACAGAAGACAAAGTCGGTCATAAATTTGGCAAAGACAGAATTCGCGAAGGTGGAAATGACGTTCTTAGGGCACAACATCGGGCACAGACGGATGGCATCAAGGAACGTGAAGACGAAGGCCATTGAGGTATTTCCAAGACCATCCTCGAAGAAGGAAGTGCTATGATTTTTGAGACTGAGCAGATTCTTCAGGAAATTTGTATCAAACTTGAGTAGTGTGGGGGCACTTTTGACGGAATTGTTAAAGAAGAATGCAAAATTTTGGTGGACAGAGGAGGCATTTGAGAATTTACCACTGCACCAGTTTTAGCCATGCCAAACTTCTTGAAACCTTTTCACACAAAGAGTGGTGGGCATGTGGAATGCGCTGCTGGCAGTGGTAGCGGAGTCAGATACTTTAGAGACTTTTAAGCGACTCTTGGACAGGCACATGGAGGATAGTAAAATGTAGGGTGTATAGGGTAGATTGATCTTAGTAGGATAATAGGTCGGCACAGCATCGTGGGCCAAAGGACCTGTACTGTGCTGTACTGTTATATGTTCTATGTCACTATCGATGCAAGTGATGTAGGGGTTGGAGCTGCGTTGTTACAGGGGGGTGATTGTAGAATTGAAAGGCCAATCGGTTATTTTTCAAAGAAGCTCAAGAGAAAATATTCAACCGTTGAAAAAGAGTTATTGAGTTTGGTACTGGCCTTACTAGATTTTAATGTTTATGTTGGAAACAGTGTATCAGAGACGGTTGTGTACACTGATCACAACCTTTTGACATTTTTGGAAAGATTTAAAGATAAGAACACCAGATTATTTTGTTGGAGTCTTATGTTACAAGCATTTAATTTGCAGATTGTACATATTGCGGGTCATGGGAATGTTATTGTGGATGAGTTATTGCGGGTTTAGAAGAAAATGTGTGTGTAAGATATAAACAGTAGTGTTCAATGTTATAAGTATATATAGAATGAATATGAATTGTGTAACTTTACATTAATGATGTATGGATCTAGTAATCATGGCATTAAGATTTAGAGAAAAAAAATGAAACCATCTTTTCATAATGATGGTTCGTTGTTTTCTTAAGGGGGGAGGTGTTGCGAAGTTAGAGTATTTGATGTTTGTAAAATGATAAGAGGAAGAGTGCATGGCCCCTTTAAATAAGGTTTTTCTTGGAAGATTAAAAAAATGTCTGCAGACAGCAGTAGATGCACAGAGTTCTTAAAATTGAAACATTGTATCAGAAGGCTTTAGTGTTAGCAGGCAAAGCAATTAATTTAAACCAGGTCCTAGATACCAAAACCCAATTAAATTTTAATCTGATGACGTTGACAACCTAAGACCAATCCTATTGTAAGAAATTAATAGGTCATAGAGGGTATAAAAGAAGAGGGCATTTGAAAATCATTGAGAGTCAACTGTCATCAGCCAAGAGAACAACTCTCAGCTATAAAAGAAACAATCACTGGCTCTCACAGAAATCTCTAAACTCTCAGGGTAAACACCTTCTAAATAAAGGTACTACAGCACTCTTAGCTAATATTCCAGACATGAGTTCAATGGAGGAGGGTGTTACTGAATGGAACACAGTGGAGAAGGCAAAGAACATTCTGGAAGACTTATCCTGGCTGTAATTTCAAGAGACTAAGTTTTACTTTATTTGTTTCTTATTACTTTGGTTTCTATAAATGTGACTTGAATTTATTGGAATAGCATACCATTAGAACTTTGTTTTATTCGGGAATAGTTCATAATTTAGGGGGGAATTGTTTGGTTTGTTAGTGGTTCTGTTAATTTGTTCACTGTTAGAGTTAGATAAATAAATTGTTACTTGTTGCTTATAAAGTGAGTATCAAGGATTTCTTTCACTTAACCACTCCTTTATAGCGCACTGGGGGTGAGAGGCAGATTATACCACTTTTCACGCTGCCTTTAACAGATTACGAGGTGAGGCGAGGTGAGCTTCTCTGGGTGTTTCACTTTTAATTATCAGAGAGGTATCGACCTCCTCTTCACAACAATTGTAAATGGAGATATTTAACAAAAGCCTTGTCAAACAGATCAATTTCAAGGACAGCCATAAACCTATCCACTCCTCTTTAATTGTAAGGGGATAATTTCCAACCATAGGATATGAATAGCTAAAGAAAGCTGAGTGATAGAATACGTTCTAGACTGAGTTAGATAAATCCTTAATAGACAGTAAAATGTTACGGGGGCCAGACAGGACATTGGAGTTGTAACCACATTCAGGACAACCTGAAATGGAGCAAGCCTGAGGGCTCTATCAACAATAACGGAGATTTGCTGTGTCCTTCTGTTGACTTGTCTGATTTCCTCACTCTGTGAAAACTGTCTGCCACATGTGTCTGCAAAAGCAATATTGATCCGCCTTCAAAAGCATTTCTTTGGTGGTGAAGCTGTTTGGAACATACCGAGGGTATGACTCATGTTCTATAACAGTTTCTTTTATTCATTGTGCTAGATGGATGACTGCTTATTCCATTAACATCACATCTATTTAACGTTATAAAGACAGATTATCTGGTCATTGTCATAATGCTGCTAGTGGGAAATTGGCTATGTGGCTTTAACAACACAATGATGAAATTGCTGAAATTTTTCATTTTAAAGTTAAAGCATGATATTGAGTGTGTTGGATGGTGTCAAATCCACCACTTCCTAAGGCAAGTCATTTCAGGTGAATGCTTACTCTTCAGTTCAAAATCCATACAGACATGATATTGTGAAAGTTACTTAGCAAATTGCATAGCAAGCCGAAAATGGTGGCACCTTCCAGACTGGAAAGTTCTGGCACCAAATTTAAAAGCACTTTCATGCTGCAGACCGCTAGCTTCTCCTTAGCCTGTAGTGGTTATTCCAGAAATGCCAGCCAAGAAGGCTTTGATGGCCCCCTGGTTTACTGTTCTGTGGATGCTATTAGATGACTTCACTGTCAGAAACATCTTTTCTTCCTGCAGGATGGCATCAGGAGGCCATCCCATTAGACTGATCTGCCTAAGTAGAGATAGCAACGTGGGTCAGTGGCAGCAGCCTGCACTAAAGGAACAGCAAACAGTGCAGGAAGATATTCAGTGATCTCCTGTGCTCTGCAAGGATAGTGGCACCATCTTCTCTCAGCGCCCTCATATGCATAGAGCTGTCACTCAGTCTAAATTTAAAATAAAAACTGGAAGTGCTGGAAAAATTCACATATACTGCCGGATCTGCTTAGTTTCTACAGTATTTTCTGTTTTTGTTTCAAACCTCCACTGTCCCCTCTCCAGGGCTTTTACTATGAATTGACATAAGATACACAAAGGAAATATTTTCCAGGTGGTTGGACCTATTGAAACAATTATTTTTTGGAAATATGAACACTGTGAACAATATTTATTAAAAAATGATTTTCAGCTGTATGAAATACCATAGTAATTATCAGAACAGTATTGATGTCTAACCAAAATGAACACTGTATGCGTTAAAATTGGTCCAGATTCACAACCATTCAGAAACTCAAACAACTCTTAACTGTGCAAGATATTTTCACTGCATCAAAATGATGAGATCTGAGGCTGGCTTCCCAGAAATTGGAACCAGGGTTCAGGAATCTTTGAGCCTTCGAGAACACAAAGCTGGTGATCAGGACCTGGGACAGACAAAGGAGTTGAGGCCAGATTCAGCAGCTGTATGGTGGGAGGGAGGTAAGAGGGGTTGGAGATTAAGGGTTAGGGATCAGCAATATGGTGGGCAGGGAGCAGCGGAATCGTCCCCTTTAATGTCATCAAAAAATGCATGATGACTGTCCTCATTCAGGGTGAGTTACAAAACATTGTTGTTGCAGGCAATGACAAGAGCTTGATTCACCGAGTCCAGGCCACAGTAGAAGAGGGACCTGAAACAAAGATGACAAGGCCCTTATTTGCATATGCAACAGTCCTGACTTGTTTCGGCCATAGGTACAGGATAACTCATGTCTTTTCCCTTACCCACTATGATGAACTAAGTGCTTATGACCAGAAATGTCTGCATGCTTCCTTAGCTATCTTAGTGGGGTCTTATAGTCCAATTAGTCCTTGAGAAACAGGTAGCCTGCAGTCCAATTTCTAGATCTGTATCCATCTGTTAATGATGATTGAAGTTTCTTATCATTGAATTTGACAGGCTAGGAAATTTATAGATTGAACGTTAGAAATGTTTTATCCTAAAATTTGAGAAACATTTGCAACATACAACAGATTTAATCAGATTTTATTTCTGTTGTTTAGATTATCACAAAAGTGGAGGAGTCTTTACAGCCTGGGACAAAACTGGCTGTGTTTGATCACATTCCCAGCAATGCGTCATTTATAAATCCATTACCAGAAATCATCGACATTTGTCACCAAAGGTAATGTAGGAGAAAATTCAATTCACTCATGCAGTAAGTTTTATAATTCCTTATGGAAGAGGATTAGGGTTGCCAGGTTTGGTTTGGTCTGTTCCAGCAGGCTGCAGCATATGACATTTCAGACTCGAACCAACTCTGACAGTCCTTCCATTGGTCAATCTTCCAAGCATGCCATCTTTCCATCCCAGTTAGAAAAGCAGCAGACTCTAGTGTTTCCAATTGGGTTAACCTTGGCTGTCAGGTCAAACTTCCTTTTTTTGTCCATTGCAAATAATAAAATATTCAAAGAAATTTAAAGGCAAATGTTTTTAACACCACTGCTTGTTACAGTGTGCTGTATATTAATCTTTATTTTTAGGAGACTCCAAGACATTCCTAAGGGTTGGCAACCCTGTGGAGGAAGAGTTATGGTATAAAATTAGTTATGTTCGAAAACATTTTATCGTATTCTTCCTTCTTCACAGAGACAGTTTGTCTCAAGATAAATAAAACAGTGGTTTGTAACATTCAGAGTTTGAATTGTTAATTAAAACAAACCCATCATGAACAATGCACTATTAATGTACTTTGTGTTACATTGTCAGTATGGTTACATTAATAACATGTTGACTAATTTAACTGATATTAAAGGAAGAATTTTTCCTTTCCACTTAGAATAATGGTATCAGGTTATGCCACATACTTATAAACAAGCTAAATTATACCATTGCGTTTGTTTTGGCTTTTTCTTTTTTATAAAGTGTCTTGACATGGTTTGTTACAGTAAAGATACTATATAAATACAAGTTGTTAATTTCTTCTGCTCAATACTGTATCAAAATTGAAATTTGGTTATTAAGTTGTTCATTTTAACTTGTTTATAAATCTCTATTTGCCTTATGCCTTTTACCTGTTATTTTACCTTCTGACAAAGTTTTCATGTGCTAAGTGTTTATTGCATACTTCTCATTCACTCCCCTTAACTCTCTACACCTTTATAATCACAGAGATTTTGTTCCAGTGCATAATCCCTTATCACAACAAACATTGGAGTTCACAGTCCGTCTTCAAAGTGTCAATCAAACTGAAATTGAAAGCACAGTAATGTGATAATATAAGGGAGTCAAATCAGTTATTGAATATTAATCAGCTAATGGTTAGCATTCAGGCTTATCTCAATGAAGAGAGTGAAACAGCAAGTATTTTTTAAGTCTACAGACAATTTTCTCAATGGATTAAAGTACAGGGCTTTTAAATGCCTTGATAGTTTTGACAGTACATCTTCACAGTTCCAGTGACAGTTTTTTACAACAATCGCAAAGGGATTCCTCCATCAAAGGGTACATGACCTTCTCCAAAGAGATACTTAACTCTCCAAAACAGTATCCTAACTACCTAAAATCCACAGAGGTCAGATCTTCTCCTACCAGGTCTAATCTGTGCATTTTGTGTTTCAGACACTCAGGCCACCAAAATCACATAAAAGATAGCTGCTGATTATTATGAGCTAGTGTTTCAGCAAAACACAAATGTGGGAAACCTGATCTATCCCCCGAGTGGGACTTCTGAATTTTTAGCCATGTCTGTCAATGATGGAGAGGCTCTCCATTATTGTAAAAATTCAGGCTCAAGTTTGATGGCCAATATTAACATCTTCCCCATCCCCTTTTAACATGGAGCATGTTTCATGTGACTCCATTTAGATGCTTGGGTGTCTAAAAACAACTTGCTCGCCCCTATAAAACAACTCAGTTTAAGCAGTAGACAATAGGTAGAGTTCACTGCAAGCTGCATGATAGTCGAGTGTTCACCCTTTAAGTACCTTGTCTGATCTTGCACAATTTCCACTGTTGAGTTTCTACTGTGATAAGACAAGACACGCTTGTTCCAAGCTCAGAATGGCTAGCCAGACTGTAGAAGCTGAATACCAGATCATTGAAACTTAGTATCTTGAAGTAAAAGATACATTTTTTTTTTTTTAGTAATTTTACTGTAGGGAGGCACAGTTGAATCTAGCTTATTGGCACCAGCCGGGGTTACATGAATCCTGGTAAATAGTAAATAAAAGTGAGCATGGGTGAAACTGGATTAACTGACTCCCTTCTCTCTGGTTGCAGGGTTACAGGGTCTATACAACCAGAGAGAAATTTAGTGATGTATCGCTAACATTGAGTAAAGATACCCTTAGCCAAAACCAATCTATATAAATTTAGTTCATAGAAAAATGTGTGCTAAATTCTTTTGTTCAAAAGCACTGAAAATGCATAAAAATGTTAGGTTCTTTGTTTCAAAATACTTCAACTGCTATATGGTATAACTGACATCATAGGAATAGATTTTTTTTCATATTACTGCTTACTAATTCACATAGGCATCTGGGTAAAAAGAGGAAAAATGTACAAATCACAGTTAGGCTGACAAAAGATGTAGCATAAACCAATAGCCACTGAAGTGTTAATGTAGTCCAAGCCATTTGATGAGACAGAGAGCAAGACACACAAATTTTTATTTTTGTGGACAGAATTTATTGATGTTCTCAGTCTTACCCCTCTCATCCAACACCCATTATTATACCTGCTCCTGATTTATGTGTGCTCAGACAATTAATAACTACCATTTGTTTCACTTACCTTATTAAAGACATTTAATAAAGCTTAACATTGTGATTGACAGACATTAATATGAATAAAGATACTAAGTTGTTTTGTCTCACAAAAAATCATGGAATCTCCATCCCAGCCTTGAATGTGTTGCTATGATCTAGTTAGGAGTGATGAACAGATTTGTCTCTTTGTACTATTCCTCCGTTGGTCACATCAAAATTTAAATTTAAAAAGTAAGGTGATATTGCCAAATATAGGTAAATGTCAGAAACATGTCAGCCAGGTTCCTTCAGAACCAAATAACGAACTAGTTAGCTGCAAACAAAATGTATTCAAATGAAAATGTAAAAATTATTAACAAAAGATTTTAACTGTACAAATGTGTGAACCTGCCCTTCTTGAAAAACAAACATAGATATACACAAAAGCTCTAAGACTGAGAAAAACAAAACTCAGTAAAGCTAAATCTTAAATGTACTTTGGTCAAGTAACAGATAAATTCAGAATAAAGACATTCATAGATCGTCTCTGTAGCTGAAATAACCTTCCCCACAACCTGTTGCTGTTAGAGTCTCTTCCTGAATCAGACATGGCTATCTGAATTTGTGTTTCTGGAGACAATGTTGTAGATTTTGAATTCCTCTTTAAGAACCATTCACTTGCAGTGATGAAGCCTTCCAGTGGGTTTTCAACTCTCATATTTTGAAGAGTATGGGTTCTGAGACAAGAGAGTGCAAAGTCTCTTGCTCCGTACAAGGTTTTTCTCTGACTGACTGTGTTAATATCTCTTTTCATCTACAAAGTGAGTCATATGACCTGTTTCTGAAAGTCGTGCACATGTGGCATCTTCATCCAAGACAAGCCTGTCCCTTGCAATTGTAACGTTATTGCTGCTGTATCGTTAGTTTTACAGAGCATTCTTTCCAAACAGTTCAAGTTATATATAGGGATTCCTACTATCTCTGAAACAAGTTATATATACGTGTGTTCAATCAATATAATAAATATGGTTTCATTATAAATTAATATTTTACATAAAACATCTCCATAACAATATTCAGTGAAGCAGCCTCCAAATTTTTTGGGTTAGAAAATTCCAATGTTTCATCAACCTCTGACTGAAGAAATTGCTTTTCATCTCAGCCTAAATCCCTTCCTTATCCTGAGGCTGTGCCCCTGTATTCTAGATTAGACATTTGGGGCAAAAAAGCTTCTCAATGTCTGTCTCGTCAAGCTTGTTCAAAATCTTGGTTCTTTCAATACCTTTACCTCTCATTCTTTTTAGCTCCAGAAAGTATAGGCCTGATTTACTCGTCCTGTCATAGTAAGGGAACCTTTTCAGTCCAAGAACCATGATTCTGATTTGTATGTGTATAACAAGTGCACCATTCTTCTATATTTATTACATAATATTGCTAAGCAAATTTATTGTGAATATGCCTGTAATTTGGGTAGCATTTTTAATTTTTGAAATCTGTTATATATCTGATAGGGGTACACGGGTACTTATAGATGGAGCACACGCACTAGGTGTAATGGATCTGAAACTCAGGCAAGTAAACCCGCAGCAATTTAACTCATAGTCATAGAGTTATAGAGCATGGAAACAGACCTTTCGACCCAACCTATCCATGCCGACCAGGTTTCCTAAATTGAACTAGTCCCATTTGCCTGTGTTTGGCCCATATCCCTCTAAACCTTTCCTATTCATATACCTGTCCAAACATCAAATAAATGTTGTAATTTTACCTGCCTCTACCATTTCCTCTGGCAGTTCATTCCACCCTCTGTGTGAAAACATTCCCCCTGAGGTTCCTTTTAATTAAATCTTTCCCCCTCACCTTAAATCTCTAGTTTTGGACTCCCCTACTCTGGGGAAAAGATCCTGACTATTCACCTTATCTATGCCCTTCATAATTTTATAAGGCTCTATAAGGTTGCCCCTCAGCCTCCACACTCCAGGGAAAAAAGTTCCAGACTATCCAGCCTCTCCTAACTCAAACCTTCCAGTCTCGGTAACATTCTTGTAAATCCTTTTGCACCCTTTCAAGTTTAATAAAATCCTTTCTATGGCAGGAAGACCCCAGAATTGCAAGCAGTACTCCAAATGTGGCCTTACCAATGTCTTGTACACCTGTAACATCACATCTCAACTCCTGTATAAAATGCTCTGACTGATCAAGACAAGCATGCCAAATGCCTACTTCACCACCCTGTCTGCCTGTGACACCACTTTCAAGGAACTATATACCTGCTCCCCTTAGGTCTGTCTATTCGACAACCCTCCTCAAGGCCCTACCATTAACTGTGTAAAGTCATACACTGGTTTGTCTCACTAAAATACAACACTTCGCAATTATCTAAAATAAACTCCATCTGTCATTTCTTGGCCCATTGGTCCAGTTGATCAAGATCCCATTGTACTTTTAGATAACCTTCTTCACTGACTACTATACCACCGATTTTGGTGTCATCCACAACCTTACTAACGATGCCTCCTATATTCTCATCCAAATCATTTGGTGATGACAATGTTATTGTATTTCTGGATGATTTAATCGCTTTGGCCTCTTGAAACAGTCTCAATCAGGCAGCTGTTAGAACTTAAAACTTCTGGGCTGTTGGTCCAAAATGGCTACATGATATAGAAACATAGTAATGTAGAAAAGGGCCAAAGGTCAGTTGTGATTGTAACAAGGTCGGCCAGGTGGACCTTATAGAATATGAGTTCCCTGATTGAGGCTGTTAATCTGGTCCAATCAGGGCGCCCTGGCTGACATATAAAGAGGAGTGTCAAATATTCTGACACTCTGAAAGCTGGCTTTGAGAGAGCGAGACCAGTGTCAAGGACTTTCAACGTGTAAATAAAGGGCGACTTCATGACGGGATACCATCCTCTGTGGAGTTATTTCAAAGCCACTAAGGCTTCTGAGCCTGCCGTTCCATTTAATATGATCATGGCTGATCATCAAACTCAGTGCCCCGTTCCTACCTTCTCCCTAAACCCTTTGATCCCCTTAATCCTAAGAACTGTAACTGCTTATCATTTTTGACCTTCCTAAAATTGCATTGCCATCAAATGATTAAATGTTTGAATAACTATAATAATTCTGTATTTCAGCTGTCTAGGTGCTGATTACTATACATCCAATTGCCATAAATGGCTATGTTGTCCAAAAGGTTGTGCATTCTTGTATGTAAAGCCTGAGCTCCAGAACTGCTTACAGCCACTTGTGATTTCACATGGATTTGGCTTTGGCTTCAGTTCTGAATACATCTGGACAGGTAAAGCAAATTTTCAACAACATGTTTACTGTGAACAAATATTTCTATAAAATACTTTTGCAAATGATATTTACAATAAAACTTGAACAGTTAATATCCCAGGATATAGATGCTTCAGGCAGGATAGAGAGGGAGGTAAAACGGGTGGAGGAGTTGCATTACTGGTCAAAGAGGATATCACAGCTGTGCTGAAGGAGGGCACTATGGAGGACTTGAGCAGTGAGGCAACATGGGCAGAGCTGAGAAATAGGAAGGGTGCGGTAACAATGTTGGGACTGTACTACAGGCCTTCCAACAGCCAGCGTGAGATAGAGGTACAAATATGTAGACAGATTATGGAAAGATGTAAGAGTAACAGGCTGGTGGTGATGGGAGATTTTAATTTTCCCAACATTGACTGGGATTCACTTAGTGTTAGGGGTTTAGATGGAGCAGAATTTGTAAGGAGCATCCAGGAGGGTTTTATAGAGCAGTATATCAATAGTCCAACTCGGGAAGGGGCCATACTGGAGCTGGTGTTGGGGAATGAGCCTGGACAGGTGGTTGAAGTTTCAGTAGAGGATTACTTTGGGAATAGTGATCACAATTCCGTAAGTTTTAGAATACTGATGGACAAAGACGAGAGTTTTCCTAAAGGAAGAGTGCTGAATTGGGGGAAGGCCAACTACAGCAAAATTCGGCAGGAGCTGGGGAATGTGGATTGGGAGCAGCTGTTTGAGGGTAAATCCTCATTTGATATGGGGGAGGCTTTTAAAGAGAGGTTGATTAGAGTGCAAGACAGACATGTCCCTGTGAAAATGAGGGATAGAAAGGGCAAGATTAGGGAACCATGGATGACAGGTGAAATTGTGAGACTAGCAAAGAGGAAAAAGGACGCATACATAAGGTCTAGGTGACTGAAAACAGATGAAGCTTTGGAAGAATATCGGGAAAGTAGGACCAATCTGAAATGAGGAATTAAGAGGGCTAAAAGCAGTCATGAAATATCTTTGGCAAACAGGGTTAAGGAAAATCCCAAAGCCTTTTATTGATACATAAGGAGCAAGAGGGTAACTAGAGAAAGGGTTGGCCCACTCAAGGACAAAGGAGGGAAGTTATGCGAGGAGTCAGAGAAAATGAGTGAGATTCTTAATGAGCACTTTGCATCGGTATTCACTGAGGAGGGGGACATGACGGATGTTGAGGTTAGGGATAGATGTTTGATTACTCTAGGTCAAGTCAGCATAAGGAGGGGGGAAGTGTTGGGTATTCTAAAAGGCATTAGGGTGGACAAGTTCCCAGGTCTGGATGGGATCTGTCCCAGGTTACTGAGGGAAGCGAGAGAGGAAATAGCTGGGGCCTTAACAGATATCTTTGCAGCATCCTTGAGCACGGGTGAGGTCCTGGAGGACTGGAGAATTGCTAATGTTGTCCCCTTGTTTAAGAAGGGTAGCAAGGATAATCCAGGTAATTATAGACCAGTGAGCCCGATGTCAGTGGTGGGGAAGCTGCTGGAGAAGATACTGAGGGATAGGATCTATTTACATTTGGAAGGAAATGGGCTTATTAGTGATAGGCAGCATGGATTTGTGCAGGGCAGGTCATGTCTTACCAACTTGATAGAATTCTTTGAGGAAGTGACAAAAGTTGATAGATGAGGGAAGGGCTGTGGATGTCATATACATGGACTTCAGTCAGGCGTTTGATAAGGTTCCCCATGGTAGGCTGATGGAGAAAGTGAAGTCGCATGGGGTCCAGGGTATACTAGCTAGATGGATAGAGAACTGGCTGGGCAACAGGAGTGGAAGGGAGTTTCTCAAAATGGAGAACTGTGACCAGTGGTGTTCCACAGGGATCCGTGTTGGGACCACTGTTGTTTGTGATATACATAAATGATCTGGAGAAAGATATAGATGGTCTGATTAGCAATTTTGCAGATGACACTAAGATTGGTGGAGTAGCAGATAGTGAAGGGGACTGTCGGAGAATGCAGCAGAATATAAATAGATTGGAGAGTTGGGCGGAGAAATGGCAGATGGAGTTCAATCCAGGCAAATGTAAGGTGATGCATTTTGGAAGATCCAATTCAAGAGCGAACTATACGGTAAATGGAAGAACCCTGGGGAAAATTGATGCACAGAGAGATCTGGGTGTTCAGGTCCATTGTACCCTGAAGGTGGCAATGCGGGTCAATAGAGTGGTCAAGAAGGCATACAGCATGCTTTCATTCATTGGACGGGGTATTGAGTACAAGAGTTGGCAGGTCATGTTACAGTTGTATAGGACTTTGGTTCAACCACATTTGGAATATTGCGTACAGTTCTGGTCGCCACATTACCAAAAGGGTGTGGATGCTTTGAAGAGGGTGCGGAGGAGATTCACCAGGATGTTGCCTGGTATGGAGGGTGCTAGCTATGAAGAGAGGTTGAGTAGATTAGGATTATTTACATTAGAAAGACGGAGGTTGAGGGGGGACCTGATTGAGGTCTACAAAATCATGAGAGGTATAGACAGGGTGGATAGCAAGAAGCTTTTTCCCAGAGTGGGGGACTCAATTACTAGGGATCACGATTTCAAGGTGAGAGGGGAAAAGTTTAAGGGAGATATGCGTGAAAAGTTCTTTATGCAGAGGGTGGTGGGTGCCTGGAACGCGTTGCCAGCAGAGGTGGTAGAGGCGGGCACGATAGCGTCATTTAAAATGTATCTAGACAGATAGATGAATGGGCAGGGAGCAGAGGGGTACAGATCCTTGGGAAATTGGCAACAGGTTTAGATCGAGGATCTGGATCGGCGCAGGCTTAGAGGGCCGAAGGGCCTGTTCCTGTGCTGTAATTTTCTTTGTTCTTTGTTAGTCCCGCAAAAGAGTAGCTCAGGAAGTCATTATATTTGTAAATGCACACCGTATGACATACTGAATCATTGAGCCATGGAAGATGCCATGTTTGAACATTGTTTAGTGTTAAGTTAGCCAATATCACATCACTGAGAAGTTGGTATAGTTGACCTCAGCATCCATAAGCTAAGTACAGAGAAGAATATTGTACAGTGTATGTTAAATTCTGGAAGGCATTGATCTTGCATGTAATGCTTTCTCTATCCCATCCATTGCCCTAGTCTTATAGGATGAGTTGCCAAAAGTCTGATGATGTCTGTATAACTATGCCCCAGTAAACTAATCATTTCAGAAAAGGCTGGTAATCACACTTCAATGTATTTTAAAAAAGAGAAAAAAAAGAGACATTTCACTGGCTTCTTCTGGAGTTAAAAATTCAGTAGTACTTTCCATTAATCTTAGGATGTCCAGTACAAATAGCAATTATTTTCCCTCCAACAATAGAAAAAAAATAATCATAGTGTTTAAAGCGAGATTGAAGTAGCACACTTTCGCCGTCCAGTTTCACCATTCTACTGGTCACAACCCTTGATCCCAGCTCCATTTGCCTCCTTGTTTTTCTTCACCAGAGCCTCAATATCTCTAGTCATCCAGTGTTTCCTACACCTAACAGCCTTGCCCTTCACTCTAATAGAGCATACTGATTTTGAACTCTTGTTATGTCTCTTTTGAAAGCCTCCCACTTGCCAGTCATCCCTTTAGCTGCGAACAGCCTATCCTAATCAACTTTTGAAAGTTCCTGTCTAATACCGTCAAAATTGGCCCTTGCTCCAATTTAGAACTTTAACATTTATACAAGGTCTATCCTTTTTCTTTACTATTTTAAAACTAATAGAATTATGGTCACTGGTTCCAACGTGCTGTCCCATTAGTACCTCAGTCACTTGCCCTGTCTTATTTCCCAAGAGAAGGTCGAGTTTTGCTCCTTCTCTAGTAGGTACATCTGCATATTGATAAAGAAAATTTTCTTGAACGTGGTTAACAAATTCCTCTCCATCCAAACCCTTAACACTATGGCAGTCCTAGTCTATGTTTGGAATGTTAAAATCCACTACTACTACTACAACCCTATTATTTTACAGACATCTGAAATCTCCCTACATATTTGCTCATCAACTTTCCCCTGACCATTGGGGTGCCTACAGTATAGTCCCATCAAGGTGATCATCCCCTTCTTATTTTCATTTCCACCCATATGGTTTCACTGGACAACCCCCTAGGAAAATCCTCTCCAAGTACAGCAGTGGTGTTTTCCCTCGTGAAAAATGCCACTCCCCTCACTCATTTTCTGTCCTTCGTATAGCATCTACACCCCAGAACATTGAGCTGCCAGTCCTGTCCTGCCCTCAGCCATGTTTCTTAATAGCTATGATATCCCAGTCCCATCTATGCCCTGAGTTCACCTGCCTTACCTGTCAGGCCTCATGCATTTAAATAAATGCAGTTTAATTCATCAGATTAACCTTGTACTCCTCCATTTTCTTGCCTGCCTTGTCTGTTTAACTTGTGAACTATCCTCAACCTTCTCTCTTTTCTCACTACTGCTTAGGTCTTCTCCCACTACCCCCATATTAGTTTAAAGCTTCCCGAGTAGCACTAGCAAATCTCACCAACAGCATATTGTCCCTTCTATTTCAGGTGCAACCCATCCCGCTTGTACAGGACTACCTTATGGGCTCATTATTCGTCCAACTGTGTGGTCTGTTGTCAGTGGCATAAGGAAGCTAAAGCCAACTGTTGCTTGGAATGTGAGGCTGATTGTTGCCTTGATGTGGTCTCAGTGGAACCTCCTTTAATTCGCCCCTTCCTACCCCCTGCACTCCTGAAGCAACGAGGATCAGCAGATCATAGGCACAGCCCTCTGCTGTCCCGGGGCTGGGGGGATTCCTTTCCAAAATATGGCCTGACAGCTGTGAGCTTCACCTACTTGAAAAATTTTACGACGCTTCAGATATCTTGAGGCATCGTTGTTGTCCCATAAATGGAGCACCAAATTCTCCTAGTGGGCCTGCCGGTCACCAAAGCCTCAGGCCATCCAATGGCCCTCCTGGCTGCACAACTTTTCCACTATCCCTCACTGGCCAGACAGTAAATGATAGCTTTTATTCTCTGCCTTTGAGAACATTGC